CTTAAAAGGGTTCAGAGCTCGGGTATAGAGCTAGAGATGACAATTTTGAAAAATCTGAAATCATTAAAAACGTCAGTACAACTATTTACTTGAAAAATAATCAAAGATAACTAATTAGAATCGAATAAATAAATTTAAATTTATAACTTTCGCTAAAAAAGACAACTGAAAATTAATTTCGGTCTGACTCACTTACATGTCCCCAGCAGAGTCGCCAAGCTGTAGGAACCGTCTTTCGGTTGGACCCGAAATTGGGCTTCGACTTGAATTGATTGGGTTAGAGTCGCCACCGACCATTTTAAAACGAATTTAGGTGGGTCGGACACCATCTTACATGATCTGCGTTGTACCAGAAATGTGTCGGGTTCAGGAGTCGGTTACGGTCAAGGAAGGATTAGCACCCTTGAACCGCCATTTCGGTACCAATTAATTTTTCGGTTGTCTTTATTTACGAAAATTAAGAATTTAAATGAAAATTTAATAACTCGATTCAAATCACTTACCTTTGATTGACTGAATGTCGTACCTTAAAAAGTTAGGACATTTGTTAGAAAGAAAAAAAATGTGATTAAAATAAATAAGATAAAAAACAATTAACAAACAAATGAAATAAATAAGATAAAATGAGATAAAGAAAAAAATAAAATGAAGACAAATAGGATAAAAATAATAATAAGAAATATAAAGAAAAAAGAAACAAGGAAACAAATAAAAAAATATAGATAAATTGGATAAATATAAAAAAAAATATAAAGAAATATGGGAACAAAATAAAACACACAATAAATAAATAAAAACTAGAAAGAAAAAAACAGTAAAGATAAAATAAATAAAAAAGTATATATAATGAAGATGATAATAATAAAGGAAAAGAAAAAAATATATACATTAATAATAAATAATATATATATGTGTGTGTGTGTGTGTGTAAATATGTATAAACAAAGTAGTGAAAAAGAAAAGAAAATACAATAAAGAAACGAAAAATAATAAAAATAATTAAAGAATTAAAATAAAATAAAGATAAAAAATAGTATCGTATAAAAAAATAACAAATAAAATAGAAATAAAATAAAAAATAAAAATAACAAAAAAAATGATTAAATTAAAAGGGAAACAAAATTAGAGGATGAATTCGCAAAATATAAAAAGTGTAAACAGTGATTAAATCGAATAAATCAAAAATCTAAAGGCCAAATTACATACAGTGACCAGATTGAATTACGCTTTGAAATTATGAGGACGACGGAAAGGATTAAACTTTCCTATAATTGTAACTTAGTCCCCCGTATATAAAAGGCCTAAAACCCCCAATTTTCCCTCATTCTCTCATTTGTAATGTTTTCACTCTCTCCCTAAAGCCTCAAACTCTCCCGCCTCTCTCTAGCCCGAGCGATATACGGCCACCTGCCGGTGGCTTCTCCGCCGTAACGTTGTCGCTTTGGCCGCTACCACCAGCGGCTGTACAACACCAAAACCTCACCCAACGCTCATCTTTTCCCCGCAAACACAGATTCGAAGCCCGTTTCCCTTAAAAACAACCCAACCGACGTAGATCTACGAAAACTTCCTCAGGTCTTACCTCCACTTGTCGGTGACCGATGGTTTTCCCTTCGCTTTTATGCTTTTTCCTGCGATCTTCTTACTTGTTTTCGTGATATCTGATGTTTGGTGTTGTTGGTGTCCTCTGTTTGTGTATTTTTGGACTGTTGTTTTTTTGTGTGGTTCGAGTGTGGCTCACTGTTTGATGTCGTGATGGTGTTTTTAGTGGCTCTCGGTTTGTTGGCCGATTGATGATGGTGCGTATGAGTTCTGTGTGTTTGTGATTTCTGTGGTGGGTTCTCTCTCTGTGTCCCGTACTGTTGGCCACACCGAGGCTTTTATAGCTCGGTTTTGGCCGTTTGGGTTCCGACGATCTCGAGATCGTGGTGGGTTGTTGCCGAGTACCCCGGGATGGTTCAGTCCCAGGGATCTCGGCCGGACACTTTTGGCTGTTTGGCATGACTGTTGCGTGTGGCGCTGTTGACTGAACATTGCGTGGGAACCCTAGCAGACTTTGGATGTTAGTTACGGGCTGGGTCAGGCCCACTTGGATTGTCTGGACCCGTTGCATTGGACCCTTTATAAAACCCTGAAGAAAAAAAAAGTATATATATATATATAAGTAATAAAAATAATAATAATAAATAATAATAATTTAAAAAAACTATATAATATACACTTTTTTAAAAACGTTTTAAAAAACTATATTATATATAAATTTTCAAAAATGTTTTTTTCTTAAACTATATAATTTTCAAAAAATGTTTTTTTGAAAACTATATAATTTTCCAAAATGTTTTTTTAATTATATATTATAGAAGTTTTAAAAAATATTTTCAAAACTATATATTATATAAGTTTATTTAAAAATTGTTTTCAATAACTATATATTATATAAGTTTTTCAAAATGATTTTAAAAACTATATATTATATATATTTTCTAAAATGTTTTAAAAACTATATATTATATAGTTTTCAAAAGTGTTTTAAAAACTATATATTATATACATTTTCAAAATGTTTTTAAAAACTATATATTATATATGTATCTTCAAAAACCGTTTGCAAACTATATAATATGGATGGATGGATGGATGGATGGATGGATGGATGGATGGATGGATGGATGGATGGATGGATGGATGGATGGATGGATGGATGGATGGATGGATGGATGGATGGATGGATGGATGGATGGATGGATGGATGGATGGATGGATGGATGGATGGATGGATGGATGGATGGATGGATGGATGGATGGATGGATGGATGGATGGATGGATGGATGGATGGATGGATGGATGGATGGATGGATGGATGGATGGATGGATGGATGGATGGATGGATGGATGGATGGATGGATGGATGGATGGATGGATGGATGGATGGATGGATGGATGGATGGATGGATGGATGGATGGATGGATGGATGGATGGATGGATGGATGGATGGATGGATGGATGGATGGATGGATGGATGGATGGATGGATGGATGGATGGATGGATGGATGGATGGATGGATGGATGGATGGATGGATGGATGGATGGATGGATGGATGGATGGATGGATGGATGGATGGATGGATGGATGGATGGATGGATGGATGGATGGATGGATGGATGGATGGATGGTATACGATAAATGTACGTTTCAAAAAATTATATATTTGACTATTTATATATAAATTTTAATTTTCTTTTATTTGAATAAAGCTTCAATTTTCTTTTACAGTAAATAATATGGATTTAATGAAAACTATATATATTTCATAACTTTCGATTTCTAATACTTGACGAGTTTCATTTCTAAAATTGAATCATTTTAATTATAAAAAAAAAATTCTTTTTCATTTATGGTCTCTTACATTCAATGTAGATATAATTATCTAAAATCTAAACCATTTATATTTTAATTTCTTTATTTCGCTTTATTATCTAAATTGTAAGCCATAAACAGTGATGGAGTGAATGAATCAACTACTTATAACATTGGGTAAACTAATCAAATGATCACTTAAATATAAAATTAATATTGATATAATTATTATACTTTCAGTTTTGACAATATAATAATTATCATATTTAAGTGATTTTAATGTAACCGTCATCTATCATTACAATTTACAAAACTAACAACGTAGTTGATATGATTATTATTGACTAACGGTAAGTCAAAGGTCCATGTCAGTTACATTATTTATTTCGTTACTATATGTGGCTACATTGAAATCACTCAAATAACTATGTTGTTAAATTTCTAAAACTGAAAATATGATGGTCATATCGACATTAACCTCATAATTAAAATGGTCATTTAAATAATTTACCCTATAATTTACCTAGCTACATCAAATTTTGGGCATACTATATTAAAATTATGTCAAATTTAATCACATATTTTTTTCATCCATTCCCTTTAGGTCTAATATTATTATCAAATTCTTTACTTTATCAAAATTTTAGAGCCGAGCAAGTATATGTAGTTGGTTCGTCAAGTTATACAATTTTTTTTCATATTTCTTAAGTCATAAATTATAAATCCATTAGGAGCACTTTTCTCCTTTCTCTTAGAGTCTTTTTGACTTTCCGTTTAGATAAAATTAAGATTAAATTTTAAATTTATCAAAACAAAATCTAAAATTTTATTATACATTTTTTTATTTAAACATTAAAGTATATTCAAATTACATTATGTTTTTAAATATATGTTATCGATGAAACGTTAATTATTCAATTAGACCTTCATATTTAGACTGTTGTATATTTAAATTTAGGGTAAAGTACACAAATGATCCTTTGATTATAGAGTGTTATTTTTTTATTCTCTTGATTATTAAAAGTTACAAAATGATCATTTGACTATTCATTATGTTCCAAACTAGTTTTTTTCATTAAACAATTGGGGGTCATTTAAGCTGAACGTTAACATAATGACTGGTATATAATAGTCCTTTGAGATTTTGAAATCAAATTTTATCATATCACAATCGACATGTTAACATTCAACTTAGACTATCATCATTTTTTTAACAAAAAAGACAAGTTTGGAACATAATGAATAGTCGAGTGATCATTTTGTAACTTTTAATAGTCGAGAGACTCATCGAAGCAACACTCTATAGTCAAAGGATCATTTTGTAAATTTTAATAGTCGAGAGACTGAACAAAGTACCACCCTGTAGTAAGGGGACTATTCATATACTTTACCCTTAAATTCCAAAGTGCATCAATAATATTAAGAATCAAATTTAGTTTTTCTAAAAAACTAATTTCTGAAATTAAAAATAAAAAAAATCGAAAGTCAGAGGAGAATAGGGATTTAAGACAAATTATACCTTCTACTAGAGTGATGAGTGAGAAACAAGAAAGGGTCATCATAGGAGCAATTTTTGTTTGACGTGTTGTAAAGTGAAGCAAAGCCAAGTTTAAAAAATTTGACATTTGAGGAGTGCGTTGGGATTTCAATTTTCGATAAATAAATACTTTTGTCTTCACATTCCTTTGCTGAAAACAGTGAAAAACGAAGTCATGAAAGTTTAGGAATTTTTTTTCAGGTCACTTTCTTCTTCAATCAAAGAGGGCTTCCTTTTTTTTACCCACCAATGGATCCCAAGGACTCCAAGCAGCCTCCTCCACATCAATTACCCAACTTCTTGAGCCTACCATCACAACAGCAGCTTCAAAACACAGGCGAGAACAAATCAGCTGAAACAAAGGATGCCCTTACAGTTGTTGCAGATAAAGAAGGAAATAATCAATTTTTGGTCCCAAAGAGAAGTTCCAACAAAGACAGGCATAAAAAAGTTGATGGAAGAGGTAGAAGGATAAGGATGCCTGCTCTATGTGCAGCTAGGATCTTTCAGTTGACTCGAGAATTGGGCCACAAATCCGACGGGGAAACGATTCAGTGGCTGTTACAACAAGCTGAACCGTCGATAATAGCCGCCACGGGAACCGGAACGATACCGGCATCGGCTTTGGCAGCTGCTGGAGGCTCCGTTTCAGCGCAAGGAGCTTCTCTGTCTATGGGGTTGCACCAAAAGATGGAAGATTTACATGGGTCCAGTGTGGGGTCAGGGAGCAGTAGGATCAATTGGGGGGTTGTTGGTGGTAATTTGGGGAGACCCCATCATGTGGCAGCATCAGGGTCATGGCCCCCAGTCAGTGGCTATGGGTTGCAGTCATCATCCACAACAAATTTAGCCACTGAAAGTTCTAATTATATGCAGAAAATTGGGTTTCCTGGCTTTGACTTGACAGGCAGTAATATGGGTCCGGTGAGTTTCAGCTCAATGCTCGGTGCGGCTAACCAGCAGCTCCCTGGTTTGGAACTTGGGTTATCTCAAGACGGTCAGTTTGGGGTTTTGAATCCTCAAGCCTTGAGCCAGATGTATCAGCAGATGGGGCAGGCTAGGGTGCACCATCAGAACCAGCAGCAGCTGGAGGAGGAGCAACAACCGCCTGCTAAAGATGATTCACAAGGATCAGGCGAGTAAAGTTATCGACTTTGGGAGCAAGACTAAAAAAGTAACATTCAAGAGGATGGCTTTTTTTCTTGTAACGGTTTTCAGTATTGTATAATTGGATTAAAATGGGCTCTTTGATTCTCAGAACTCTATGGTTGACTGGATGGATATATTGCCCCCCCCCCCTTTCTTTCTGCATTGCATCACCCAAATTTCCATTACAGAGGTGTTTTTTTCCCGATTCTTGTGTTTTGTTAAACTAGAATCCTCCAAAGTCTTCCAAAAAAAAGTGTAAACTGTTTTGTGCCTAATTGGTTTTGCTGTGGAATGTGCAGGTGGAGCTTTGCACAGCCTAATAGCATGGTTTTGGGCTTATCTTCTGGTTTGATTCAGAGGTGTTTTGAATATAATACAAGGGACATTTAATTGTTTTCTTCTTCTTTAGTTCTGTATGGAGTTGGAATCAGTTTGCTTGTGAAATTAAAAATAGAAATTTGCAGTCATACATGTCCAGTTTCTTCTTAGATAAAGTAGGAACTTTTATTTCCCTAAAAGATTATATAAAGAGCAATTGTTGGCTATTTCTGGATGCCAAAAGCATGCATGTTTCCTGCTAAGCATGTCTGTTAACATATAAGAACCTAGTTCTCTTGTCATCACTTCAAGTTTCTTTTGTGCTGGTCTTACCTTTTTTTCTTTTTTGGGAAAACCCTTCATTATTCCTAAATTTTCTTCACTGGATTAGTTTTTATTTATGGAATTTGTATCCAGTCACTGCTTGAACACACAAGGGAATTTGACTTGGTATGTGCATATAACATTGGATGCATTAATTGACTGTTTAAAACTTCTCTCATTCAATGTTGAACAAAGGATTACTGGCCCTCTTGAATTGGCTGGACATAGAAGTGCCAGTGATACCAAATAGCCTGCTTTGTTCATCATTTTTTTTTTGATTAAGCTAAGATGATTACAAATCTGTTCTAAATATTCCTAACTATTTGACAACGAACACTCAATCACCCTGTTAAAGTCGATGGTACTCAAACCCGTGATTAGGACCAACAACGACTCCTTTAACTATTGAGGTAAGTTGGTTCGCGCAAAGTTCATCAACTTTAAATGAAAACGTTGTGTGTCGATATTCAATCGAGACGTAATCATATACACTGAGGTATACTTGGAAAGATCATGCATCCTACTCATGTCACCTGACTTGGATCATTATGTGGAAGCCAATTCTATCAGTTGGTTTTGGACTATCCACTCACATGCATGTTTGAAAAGATTCGATGATAATATTTAGGATTGGTCTTAAATTAGTAGCACAATGGATTCTCTTTTGTTGTCCCCAATGGTTATTTGATCTTTTCATCAGTTGTCTGTCTCTATTGTAATGTAATTAGGTTAAGGTTGAGTTCTCCTTAGTAGATATTTCATGTGAAATCTATGATGGTTTTGATCTCTGTTACTCGGACAGACGAGTATGTATGCATCCAACACGGGTATGGTTAGATTTGTCAAAGTTTTTATTTGTATTTGGATGTTATATCCCCATATCCAAGTGTTCAGATACAAGTACTTGACGAAAAATAAAGAGTCGGAATAACAGTAGTTTTGATATTCTTTCTATTTTTGGTTTCCTAACAATGGAAACGTGAAAATTCATGAACTTGTTTGCACCAAAACACTATTGTTTCTTAGAAGAAATCAATGATGACAAAATCATGAGGTAAACTTAATGTGGTCCTTAAATTTTTTGAACTTCAAGTCTTGTTTCATTCATTTGCTGTGTTAAAAGATCACTGCGCTCCTTACTTTTTTTTTTACCCTTGGAGATTTTGAGTGAATTGAAATGACTGTAGAGGTTAAGTTTGTGGCCCAGCCCACATATTCTGCAATTGGCATTCAAGTCTTTCACCTTCACTTGCCGTGTTTGTAGGTAATCTTCCTGTTGTATTTCCCATGCTGCATTCATTTTTATCTATGGCGACAACATACGCATGATTTTATGTTGGGGGTTGAATTTGAACTTATAAAATTCTATAGAGACAAAAACAGATTTTAAATAGACAGTATATTGAAAAAAATGTAAAATATATAGTAATTTTAAAATTTCATGGGACGACTATCCTCACTCATCCTCTCAGTTCATCCCGGCCTACAGTCTTTCAAGTTGACTATTTCTCACACACATTCTTGATGGCTCTTGCTGTTGTATTTTTAAAGGATATTTTGAGGATCGTATCCGATGCAGAGAGACCGGACAACATACCTCTCAATTTCTCAATTTAAACTGTTTCAATTGATTCAGCTTTTTAGAAGATTCAACAAGAAGAGCACATAATATGTTCATGATGCTAAGAGGGACATGCATAAACATAACTTGAAAGATGAGTGACTGCAAATAAAAAAGGCCAAAGGGGAAGTAAGTGTCTGTGTCTTTTTGTCTCTTTATTGAATGAATTGCATTGAAATGAATGAATTAGTTGTAGGGAGAGCCATCAAAATACATACCTTCTCTCATTCATTACTGCCATTCACAAGTCTTGGAACGGAGGACCATTGCCAGAAAAACTCAAGGAAATACCTAAATAAATGGGCTTTTATACCCAAATATCACCTATTAATTATTTATTTTTTATTTAAACTTTCATATTCAATTAATATTCGAATTGGCACCATTTTCTGCCATGTTGACGAAACTGTATTTTACAAGAAGTGTGTCGTAACCGGTTTTTATCCGGGCACGAAATTTTACTTGGCGGGAAAATAATGTGAATAAATGGTTTTTAATAAAATGTTTTGGAGTCGCCATCGGCCTTTTGGGTTAGATAGGTCGAATACCTAAAAAATCATCTTTTAAAAGAGTTTTTAAGAAAACATCAGTTAAAAGATAAATCGGTCTTCGTTTAACCAAAAATTCGTTCTTTTTAATAATAAAAAGATATTCGTGGTCGGTTACGTTTAGAGAATGATTAGCAACCCCACAACGCCCAAATTTGGTCATTTTCGATTATAGATTGTCTCTAATAATAGAATTTAAGAATTCGAATATAAATTTAATTTATTATCCTATTATTTCGTATTTTAATCGGATAATTCTAAGGAAGAAAAAGATATTAAATAATTTTTATAAATTATAAATAAAATATTTATTTATTTAAAACATCAAAAAATGACATCTAGTTACTTTAAGATTGCCCTTTCTTAATACTTCAAAAATAAATGAATATTAAAAATAATAATTTTCTTAAGAAAATAATTTAAATAAAACAATATGTATTTTCTGGTCTTTTATAAGTAGGATATTTATTTATTTTTAAAATACCAGAATATGACATCTAGTTGCTTTAAGACTGTCATTTTCTTAATATTAAAAAATAAATAAATATTATTATTTAAACAAATATATATATATATATATATTTATATGAAAAAAATAAAATAATAATTTAAAGTACTAAATTAAATATATATAAATATAACATGTACTAAAATATACTAAAATAAAATTTAAACACTAAATTATAAAAAAAACAATTTATTGATATGGGATCTTTCTTGAAGATTTTATCAAAATGTTGAGGATTGTTTATTTACAATATGCATATCACGGGCATATAGTAAAAAAATTATATTAATTTAATTCTATACCCTACATGCGTATAATTTATCAATCAATTTATTGACAATCATGCTACCACTAAGTCAATATGATCATTATCTGTCTGTCAATATAGCACTATCTTCGAAAAGGTTAAATTTTAATAGAAAAAAAATCATATCTTTGTCATATCTTACCCTAAAATATATATATAAATAACTAAAAAGAAATATATATATATATACCAAATTAAAATAAACAGAAATATGTTTTAATATAATTAAATTATAAAAATATTAAATTTAAGGGTCGAAAATGAAAAGAATTAAAATATCAATGATTAAAATGTAAAATATCAAAATTAAAGGCTATACTTCGAATTATTATAAAAATATAATTACTAATAATATAATTAACCCTTAATTATTAATCAGTGATTAAAATAATAATTATTAAAATTAAAGGCTCTGACTCGAAATAAAAAAAATCTAAGTGCTAATAATGTAATTTAGCCTTAATTAATTAATTCGGGTTAAAATATAAATTATAAAAATTATAAGGGACTAATATAGTATTTACCCTAATATATAAAAATATGACAGTGACTAAATTATAAAGAAAATAAAATCAAGAGATCGAATTAAAATGATTATAAATTGATTTAAGTGACTAAAACGTAAAGTTACAAAACTATGGGTAATGCGGAAAGGGTTTAGCCATGAGGGAAATTACACAAGCACCCTTCCCCCAAAACGACGCCGTTTGGGAGAGAGTCTATAAACCCTTTAACTGGCCGAGAAAGGCTCTAAGCCTTTCATTTCTTTTTTTCTTTTCTCTCTCTAAAAGAGAGATAATCAATTCTCTCTGCCCTCTCTCTTCAAACCTCCCGCCGGAGGTTGGCCGACAGCCGTGCTCCGACGCCGGTAGCCCTCTACCGGCCACCATCCGCGATGGCCAGAAATGAAATTTTTACACCAAAATTTCCCTTTTTATTCATTGAACCCGAATCTGAGTACCTTTAGTCTAAAAACCCCCTTAAAACCCGTAGATCAAAACGAAACCGAAGGTTTTACCTTAGTTTTCGGTGGTTCCACTAAGGTTTGGAGGCTCTGATGAGGGTAAGTTGCTTCACTTTCTCCTCTTTTCTTTCGGTTTGTAGTTGTGGGTTGATTGTTTTTGGTTGGTGTCTTGCTTGCTCGTCTCTGTTGTTATCTATTTTTCACCGTTGGTGTTGCTGTTGGGTTTTTTTTGCCGGCTGTCTTTGTCTTTGCAGGTGGTGGCTTTTTATAGCCTCACCGGTGTCTTCTTCGGACTGGTACCAAATGGAGACCCTAGGTGAGTCACCATAGCTATGGTGGTGACTCACCATAAAGCTCGACGTGTGGAGGGGCAGATGGCTTTCTGGAAGCTTCGGCGGTGAGGTGGCGTGGCAGTGAAGGTGTTGGCAGCATTTGGTTGGTTCACCTGGCAGTGGAAACATCGACAGCGGCGGCTGGAAGTTGAGGCGGCGGAAACGCTAGTTGAGATAGGGTTTAGAAACTCTATCTATATTAGGGTTTAGGTCTTGTTGGGCCATCCGAGTTTTGAAAAATGGGCCAGAGTTGGGCCTCCTATTGGGCTTGTAATTATTTATTTAATAATAATAATAATAAAAAATGAAAAAAAAATAGTGCTTACAGCTGCCCCTCTTTGCTCATTCTTGTGTTAACAAGAATAGAGCAAAGACGAAAAAGACAATAATTTTTTTTTCATTTGGCTTCTTTTGAGTATGATGGAAATGTTGAAAATATTCTGCCCAGAGGTCTTATGAATGGCCCGGAGGTCTTATCATCTTGCATTGTAGGTCTTATAGATGACCTAGAGGATTTGAAAATATCATGCACTGAAGGGTTTACAGATGACCCGAAGGTTTTGAAAATATCAAAAAGCTCCTGAAGGCTTTTTGAA